AATACTTTTCTACTCTTAGGTCACTTGTTAGTCACTATTTTTACAACTATAAGTCACTATTTAGTCACTTATTTCATAAATATGGTTACTAAAATCACTATTTTTAACAGAAGTCATTGCTACCAGCCCTGCATTTGCTTCCTACCTTTAAACTATATTAGCTATGCTAATGGGAAGTTGACCGCTCAAGCTCCTCCCCTTTTCCTATCATTCGACAATGTACCCCTCTAACTTCGGGTAAGGCGCGAGTATTCGGCCTAACTCCTACTAGATATAGAATTAAGTGAATTTAGTTACAAACAAAGAGCAATGAATTATCGGCTCCGTAAAGCTAACGCGATTGAGCCTACGAACTAGATAAAAAAAGTTGACCGCTCCGAAAACAATAATTACGTTTTGATTTTCTAAAAATAATGCAGCAGACTGCAGAAAAGTTTGTATATTTTCTCTTTTACAAAAAAAAGAAGATTTTCCCAACGCTTCCAAAAGTCAACTTATAATATGGCCACATAAGAGCCTAGATCTTCCTTTTTTAAATCCTAGTAGAAGTCACATAGTCACTATGAATGGACATGAAGTAAAATTGAACCGAAACTGAAAAAAATTCCCGCGATAAAATTACGGCATATTGATCTTTAGAGTACTTTCTCTAATTACATTGATTTTCAGAAAATTCTCTTTTCATTTGATGATGTTTTATCACGAAGCAAATTCAAACTAAATAATGAAATAAATAAATCATGCGGGGTAAGGTTAGCCATCCCTAGGGGTAAGACGGCCACATGGAATATCCATGGTCCTGACCATATAAAAGGTTACTATCTTCGGCAACATTGCACAGTGAATTTGTTAGAGAACAGTAGTACATATTTTTTGGCGCTAATGTGCATGTACATTTCCTTTATAAATCTTTACTATTCAGAAAGTTTCCGTCTTCGGGAAAGTTGTTCAGGTGACCAGGGGATGAAACAGTTGACGTTTTTTACTACACTCGCTTCGTTATCGTGCGCGAAACTCTGTATTCGTACACTCATGCTCTACCGTCATCTTTCTCACACAACACTGATGTTATTAGAACATCACTGCTTGCTATTTTCAGAATTCACACACGTACAACATTAGCAGCTCTTATTTTGAGAAAATCTAAAATACATAAATACGTGACGGTCTTCGACGACAATGTCGTATGGCAATGACTATCATATGACATTTTAGTTTGCTACCGAACTTTGATAGCTTCTTTTGGTTCCAAAAACATCTATTAGTGCACCCTATTCTAGTCGAAATTCTAGTACTACACTATGTTTGTTTTGATTCGCTGTGAAAGTTTGACAGATAAAATGAGGGGTTCGTAGATTTTCCTATGTTTCGAGGGGTGCATCGATTAGCTTGGGACCGAAGATAGTACCAGAGCTGAGCCAAAAAGTAAAGCACACAAGATTTTTTTTAAACTCCGGCTTTCCTTAAGACATTTATTGAATCTTTTGTTGATCCTAACAGTGACTTCAGCTGATTTGTCCTGCTGCTGAATACTAAATCTAGGCCAACACTTCTAAACTTCGAAATCAATGGTTTGGTAATGTTTTTGTCGAAATTCACCGCTACCCGTTTTAAACCCTCAGTTACTGGTGTAAGAGTTGTCGAAATACGCCTAAAATGATCCCTTGTTCTTTTATCGATTACTGCTTGAATTGTTTTTTCTTGATATCCATTAAGTCTAGCGATTTAAAACGTCTAAGAAGGGGAGTTTGCCGTCTCTCTCATCTTCGTGAGTAAATTTGATATCCTTGAGAACGTTGCTTATGGCCTCCAAAGTTTTTGATAAATCTTCCCTTTTGACAATGGTAAAAATGTCATCCACGTACCTATACCAACATTTGGGCAACAAATTTCTATCCTCCAGAATATTTTGTAGGTTAGCCATGAACAATTCACATAAAAATGTAGAAAGTGGATTGTCCATAGGAGCGCCTTTAGTTTGTTTATAAAAATTTTCTCTGAAAATGAAATAATTTTCTTTCATACAAAGACGAGTAAGCTTGAGATATTATCGAACTTTGTTTTTCCAAGTAGAATCCTCACGTTGCTTCAGAAGCCAGTCCTCTAAAAGGCTGATGGCTTTCTTTACTGGTACACTCGGAAAAAGTGCTGTGACATCAAATGAAACCATGACTTCATCTTCCCGAATCTCTCCTGATGCCTGAAGTTGATTTCCGAATTCCTGTGTGCTGATAACTGAGCGAGTGGTAAAGGGTTTAGGCATATTTTGAAATTCCTTTACTAGCCATTTGGCAAGCTTATGAGTGGGGGATCCTACAGCCGAGATAATCTCCCTCATTTCGTTTCCTGGTTTGTGAATCTTTGGTAAACCTTTGATCCTAGGTAGAATAGGATTTGAAACTTTCAATTGATTTACTGAGCAGAAGATCATGAGTATAGCGGCGCCGGTGGTTTAGTGGTAAGCGTGATTACCTCTCACCCCAGGAGGCCTGGAAGAGCCTTTGGTCCCCGGTTAATGAGTTGATGGGTCGATAGGTAGAGTCCAGGTGTCCCTCCCTGGCGTCGGTAGCATTGGTGCTCAGCACGGAAAACAAGATCGACAGAAAACAAATCAAAGAAAAAAAAAGGCCCATCCACATGCAAGATTCGCTAATCGTTTTATATTTTAATATGACTACATGGTAATAACAGCCACTCGATTATTAAAAAGGAGCTCGTTTGCCTAGTGGCAAACGTTTTTGCTTACTGCGCAGAAGACCGTGGGTTCAAACCCAAGCTCCTTCGCGTTATATGATCGTTAGAATATCAATTTAGCTCATCGTTTACCAAAACGAACCCTGCTGCAAACCCAACCCTCTTACTCAACATCCCAGTGATTCCTCGTGGAAGTGCAGAGGACTCCTCGGCTTCCATCAAAGCGAGTGTCACGTCAACACATTCCTACCCATTCCTGTCTTGACCTGCGTTCGGGCGCGGCCGGTGATGGTAATGCCAAGTTTGAGATCACCAGTTTTTACACATTGAGGATGATTGCTAGTCCTACCCGCATAAACAATAACCATAAGAAGCGCCTAACCACCAATTCGGGATATCATCCCAATTTTATGTGGTATGGTCGCACCATCTAAGATATCGTCAGTATATGGTACACGTGTATTAGGGTAAGCATCGTCTATTGGTTCGCCGTGTAATTACAGCTAATCTCGCAAGAACAGAGTAGCAATCTTGGGCGATCAATCACGCTCAAGCACATCGAACAGATTTGTATTTTCCGTATAATAACGTTACTTTTGCATGATAAATTATATAATAGCTCTAAAACAATAAATGCCTTAAACACAAATTAACAAAGGCAGCCCACCGCCATTCACAAAGTTTGTTTTTGTCGTTTATGTTGGCGTTTCACTTGTTATCAAGCTATAATGTGTTTATCAACTCCAGCTATACTATTACTATTTTTTTTTAAAAGAGTTATTTTTTTTCAATAATCTAAAGGGTGGCCGTTTTACCCCGTTTTCCCCTGCAAACATTTTCAATTTGCCAGTCACTTTTGTTGCAATTTTTCGTCACATTTTAACCACGTTTTTAAACTATTTGGTCACTAAAGTCACTACTATTTTGCGCACTATGCACTACCAGCCCTGCACGTGCAGCTGAATGCAAGGCAGTGCACCAAAAAGATAACAGAGGAAAAGGTTAAACGAGATGCGCTCCCCATCGTCGTCCCCGTGTAATTGCGTCATTCAGGTGTCAACAATTAGGAAACCTTTACGGTTTCTCCACCCCGTGCTGCGGCGTGTTGTATATTTACGATATTCGCACATATTGGCGACCGTGTTTTTCTCCCCAATATGCATCTCCCGTCGTTTACTCCCCCCATCCTACTCCTCTTCCTCGGCATCTTGTGATGATCCCGCAGTCGCACAGTCGGGGGATCGTCAGCGGTGCGAGAATTTCAGTAATTTATCGCACTCGCTTTACTCACGGCCATGAACAGCAGCAGAGCAGTCATCGTCAGCTCTAAACAGTGGCAAAGCATAGATATTTTCCTTGACGTGTATTTGCCGTCTCGGACGCGGACTGGGATTTATTTTTAGTTGCCCGTTTTATTGAACCGATTTGAATTATATCACGATATGATGAACTCGACAAACATCGTCATCCATATCCATGCACATGGCGGCCGTGCTCGCGGAACTGGGGGGAAATGGGAAGGGCAATCATTGAGGAAAGGGAAGCAGTCCCCTGAAGGGAAATCCTTTTTCTTGGAAGGTGGTCGGTATCCCAAATTATGATAGGTTTCGTCGATTATCAGCAATCACCTTGCTTCGTCCCCTCGCGCTCGCTCCGTTTCTCTTGTTCTCGCGCGTACTCTCTCTCTTTCTCTTTTTCTTTCCCTTGTCCGTACCACTCTTCTTTCTTCCATCAAAAGCTACTCCAGAGTGGGTGGCAGTCAGTGGGTGGTGGACGTGTGTGAAAAGTGAAAATTGCACGCTTTTAAACTGCAGTTGAACCCTTAATAATTGGCGGAGGGAGTTTGACGAAAAAAATGATAATTGAAATGTATGCGATGCGAAATTTTAGCTCTCGCACATTGCCTCTCATCTAAATCATCTTCGCAGAGCGAAATCGTCATCGTGGTTCGCAGCAGCTCTGCTGCTCAGTAGCGCACACGATCACGCGAAAATCGATATAAAATTAGAGAGACACGAAACTGTTTTTCTACTGTTTTCTTCTTCTTTTTTCCCCGCACCGCTGCTGCCGTTGTTGCTGCGCTTGTTTTTCTTCACGAGCGGTACGTGACACGCCATTAGAGTCGTGAGTCGTGACGGTGTAGCGAGCGAGCGAGCAAACGAATGAACCAACGAACAACCAAAAAAAAACTCGAAATCAATAGTTCGTATAAACAGCGACGACCGTCCGTAACGAGAATTGCACCTGCAGCGAATTTTTCGCATAAATTGTAATGGTCACACACGCTCATCGGCTCATCTACCAACCTGTCTGAATTTAGAACGATCATAGTACACACAGTAGAACTGCGAGTAGGCGTTCAAAGATCCTGGTAGCTCGTCTGCTGTTTGTGAGGTGCAACACAACACTCCAAGTAGGCCTTGAACACACGGACCAACCGCGACGAGTCTCTCGCTCGACGGTTCCCACCAGGCAGCTGCTCTAATCACGCACTAAAGCTCTACCTTGCTTTCAGTCGAAACACCGCAAAAAATTCGCACGAAATCACACTCACTCTCACTCACTTTCGGCTATATATGTATACACATGGGCTATCTAATACCCCAGCACTGATGGTGTTATAATAGACGGTCGGTCGCAAGTGAAAATTTGAACTTGAAAAAAATGTCGACTACTCTTTTTCCGTCGTTGTCGTCGCCGTCTTGGTCGTAGTCGTGATTCACACACTCTTTTTTAGACTCGTTGGTTACCAAACACAGAATATATGGGGAGATTTTTCGGCGACTCCCGATTTTCAAAACGACAGTGACACGATTCACTCACGCGAATATGCAAATTTTCTTCGTATTCTTCCCGAGGCTTTCGAAGCGAAAATTATGCGAAATTCCAGAGTTGGAGGAATTTTTCGTCGAGGTGTGACTAGCGACGAAGTGGACACAATTCCTTTTTCGGGATTGTTCTTTCGTTGCGACGGCGGATCTCCTGGTTCAGGTCTACTGGCCGACGGCAACCGTAGTAATTCGTGTGTACACGGAATGAAGCACAGGAGACGACTGCCAAAATAAGGAAAAATGGAAAATGTCAAAAAAGTTTTTTTTTTCCCTTGCTGTTCGGAGCAATTGGGGCGAATTTTGCACGCATACCAAGTGCACATCAGGTGAATCAGTGTATGTCGCAAATAGAACAGGTAGTTTGTGTTTTGGTATCCACACAGCATACGGCTGTGGTGAGTATTTGAACGTGTGTGGTGGCGATGGGGAGCATACCTGATTCGTTCTAGCCAACTTGGTTTTTGTTTTAGTTGATGCGATTTGCGACTCATGGCGCGCTGTTTTGATGGTTTTTTTTTTGCGAAGAACGAGTTCGTTGACGTCGTTAGCGGGATGTCGGTCAAAAGAATGACTATTTAAATTGCAAATGGTGCTAAATTGTTGCGATTTTGATTTAGGGTAATTTGCCCATTGTTGCACACTTTGCATTGTTTACTGTGCAGCATTTATCCATGATCATAACGTCTATCGATGACATGCTAATCACAGCGCTGGTCGAAGGTCACTTTTTTCTTCAAGCCAATCACCTAAAAGTCGCTTTTTTCAACTAAAAGCCACTAAAGTTACGTTTTTCCCGTTTCCAAACTTTGTTTGTTTGTATTGTCCTTAATCAACTGTAATGTAACAAAAGTATATAACCTCGTTATTTGTTTTCGCTCCAAAAAAGATCAATAAGTTCTGGGGGTACGACACATCCAACTCTTAATTTTAGATGGTCAGAAAATTTCACGTTATCGAATCAATCTACGCTAAAGCTGGGTTTAAACAGGACAAGTCAATTGATCAAGCTGGGTTAAAAGGACCACATTTTCATTGCTCTGGTCATGCATAGGTTAGAAGATTCGAAAAGCACTTCACATGTTAAGGACTTCTATGAATATGAACAACCACCCGTAGTCTAGGAGCTGCATGAAAGGTGACACAGAAGTATTAGTTTGTTTACTAAAATGAACTATGCCCATTTTGTTATGGCAAGTTTTGCTATAAGAAATGCTCCTCGTGTTTATTAGCGAAATTCACATCAAAGGTTGATTAATTGCGTAGGAAATCAGTTCGGTACGGCATTTGTGACCAGCATAAACCTTCCGGTCGTATGAAACAGGTCAAAAACTGTCCAAATCCGCCAATAAAAAATTTTGTTTTGAATTTCTTTATGGCAAAATAGTGAACTTTTCGTGAACATTAACGGCAAAGAACTCACCAACACTGGGAGACCGTGAGTTCCTGCCCACCTGTCATAAAAACATCTCGCACCCGCGTCATCACTGTCTCGTGAGAGTCTGAATGATTGAGAAGTAAACGAGTCACCGACAGCAGAGCACTCAGTCAGTAGTTCAGTCAGCACGTTTATTCTTCCATGATGGTACTCAATCCATGTTTGGATGGAATGACTGAGCGTTCATTTTCTATGGAAGAATGCCTCAATTACATGCTATGTGAGCGAAGGCAAGCAGTGTGAGTCGCCTGTTCGTGAGTGACTGAATGTTTTCTGTTGGCTCTTTCATTACCTCGTCCTTTACCGTTTGGTAAGTACATACGGTCTGGATAGAACAATGAATTGAATAGAGCAGTGCTTTCACACTCAGTCTAAGCAGTTAATAGTTTTACGCTCTGCTTCTAGGTTATATTCCGAGATATTCTAGAAGAAGCTGGAAAGCATTCTTTTAAAGTAAGGATACATTTGATGATTTAAAGGTCTTCTATGGTACAAGTCCAATGAGATCAACCCAAAATTGAATTCAGTTTACTAATAATTCGCAAAAAGTGCAGCAACTCAGCGATGAGTAAATTTGTCTCATGTTTTCCTGTGGAAAACCTAAAAAATCTGCTGGAAAATGAGAAAAATTGACGAAAATTTTACTCAGTCTAGGTGTAGTACCAATAGACTTAGAGAATCCAATCTTTGCTATTGTCATAGTCGGGAATTTTATCCTGGAAAAATCTGGAAAATATGAGACAAATTTACCCATCGCTGAGTCCCTTCATTTTTTTTTGCGATTTATGAGTACACTGAACTCAAATTTGCGTTGATCTCATTGGTCGTGTACGATCTGAGAACTTCCTACTTTAAGGGAAAGCTGGCTGAGCTTTTGAAAGAAGCCTAATTTACTGGTTTTACAAATTATGCTCCGTGCTCCTTCTATGGAACTTGATGTTGGTAAGGTGAAATAAAGCTTTCAACCAATAATAGATTCATTATGAAGAATTAAGATGAAATATTGGATATTTAAACACATTCAAATGAATGTAAGGAGTTAGTTATGATGAGAAACAATTTTCATATACGATTATAATGGAATCTGACAGTGAATTGAATGGATAATTTGACCTAAATAGATTCTCATTCGAATATATACTTTATATTAATAGAATGTAGAAGTCAAATGAAAGAAGCTAGGTTTTTTCATGATTTTGTTAATTAATCAGAAATCCAATATTGTGAAGATAAATTTCTAAAAATTTCAAACAACATTTTTCCTTCGTTAAAAAACTCGAAAATTTGCAAGCTTAGGTTTTTGCTATTTTCGCGAAAGTCCAAGACTATTGAAAAAGTTTTCAAGCTACGTTATTTTGAAAAAAAATGAGCTTGTGCTTTTTCCAAATTTAAAAATTTTACCTATATATAGGAAAAATTTTCTAGGTCTCAGATGTTTGTTCTCAAACTCTCAATATTTTTTAAAGTTCTAAAATGTTAACATAGTTGAAGATGCTCAACGACAAATATCAGACTTAAAGTGTTCTGTCACTATCACTTTAAACTATACCAGATACGTATTTCGTTTACTACTTGCAAACTTCTTCAGTCTCTAGTCATAGACTTAATCTAGTTATAGACTATGACTAGATACTGAAGAAGTTTGCAAGTAGTAAACGAAATACGAACATAACGAAAATTATGTATGGCCACATCAATTATAGGTTGTGTTTTAATTCGTATGAATGTAAAATTTTATTACTACTGATAATTGCGTTTTTTTGCACCAACTTATTATAAAAATTTAAAAAGATAAACTTTATAAATTCATTATGATCTCTGAGCCATGGAGAATTCGATTTTATCAACATATGTATGTGTTCCTTTTCTAATATCATCGTATTCAATCAAAAACCATGCCACCTTCGAATTCTGCTCAGACTTATTAAGGTATACTCCTTAAGCTTACAAAAACTACCCTTCCAATTAGTTTATTTGCTAGGTTCAAATGCTCAAAGAACTCCACGGAGCCGGAAACCAATGATTTTTTAATAATAATATTAATGAGGAATAATGTTTATCCATTCTTTTTATTCTTTCTAGGAGGCGACTTGAGCTTAGCTTCTGCTTTTAGCCGTGCCCTCAACTCCCTGGCTTCTTCCAATTGTTTTTCCTTCAGCAACCTCCTCTTCGTCCTTTATCCGCTCTTTCTCGGTATAGTTCACTATCCCGAATTTGTAGTAATAGTACCATAGAGGTAATTTCGCTTCATGTTTATCCGCAGCGCTTGATTCCTCTGCACTATTCTTCTCGGAATCACCTCATCTTCAAGGACCTCAACCGCTTCCTCCTTTGGTGATGCACCTCCAGTCACTACACCAGCGTACGTACTGGCACTAAAGCCCTACAGTAAAAGTATGGACGACTGTCACCACAAAACTGAAAAAAAGCTGTTCCAATCGAGCAAAGCAGTGCATTTTGACGGTTCGATTGGAACAACTTTTGACAGACGTCCATACTTTTACTGTAGGGCTTTAACTGGCACTGGTTTCTTTTTCGTTCCGTTGTTTGGTTTCATCTTCCTGTAATGGCTGCTCCCGTTTCTTCCGCTTGGAGCAGGAAGTTACCTAGCATCGATGCTAGATCGCTATCCGGGACTTCTATTGGTAGGTTGTAAACTCTCATGTACTAAGCTATGACAGGTGACAGGTGACAAGTTTTCTCGAACTTTCAATCAAAATTTCCTCAGGAATTCTCTGAAATCCCATGGAATTTTTTGAATTTTCTATATATTTTCCTAAGAAACATAATGCACCGGAATCCGGACATTTAGTCTATAAATTCGGACACAAACAAATGATTATCAATGCCCACCATGGTCAAAATAGTACGTACATTTTAGCATGACCTTACGTCATCTTTCAGAATTATCACACATGTTTATTATGTTGCAAAGATGACGTAATAAATGTACTTACATAGGGGAAATGGCTCTAATGTTGGCCTATGGTTCTAAGATTGGGCCCATCACTAAAAATCTGCTATTTATCAATTTTATCTAGATGAATGCGTCATTGGGACGATACTTTTGGATATATTTGGTCGCTATTGAAAATTTAGTCGATTGCTGAATTTATGTATGGGCCCAAATTAGGGGCATTTAGACCAACATTACATCCATTTCCCCTATGTAAATAAATTACACCCTGTTCACAAATATCTGATAAACAGGCTAACCACATGAAAGATAACCGGAGGAACTAAAATCAACGTTAGAAGTCCTCTTAATTCCAAATGGAACACACTTTAACCATAGAGGTAACTCTAAGACTAGAAGGTCCCGAAATAACGTGCTCAACTTTTTGGCTCAGCTCTGGTACTCTTTTCGGTCCCAAACTAATCGATTCACCCCTCGAAACATAAGAAAAACCAATAACCCCTCATTTTATCTGTCAAACTTTCATAGCGAATCAAAACAAACATTGCGTAGTACTAGAATTTCGACTAGAATAGGGTACGTTAATCGTTTGCTTGGGACCAATAGGCTACTAAAGTGGTGAGCCAATTTAAAATCGTTAGTTTCGTATTGATTGTTGCTTTAACATACTCTCCATAACTCAATATTGAGAATACCATCGATTTATAAAATCGAAATGAAATTCATCTGAAATCAACCGATCCCGATAATGCTGTGTACCAAACTTCGTCAGTTCGAAAAATCCTTCATAACGAAAAAGGCTCCTTTTGACTCATTTTCTTCCAGCAACTTAATCACTAGACTGATGCCAAATTTTAAAATTTTG